AAAAAAACATCTTCTAATACTTGGAATGGTTATACTGCTGAAAATCAAGAGGAGATACTTTTTTTTCAACGAGACAGAATTCCTATTTTGGTGTCACGCACTGTGAAAACTCGGAAGTTCAAATTGCTGTATTTTCGAAATGAAACATGCTACGGGAGTGAAAACCTGTAAAAAGATTCACTTTTTGTTTATCTTCAACCTAGTGTTAATAAGAATTCGTAAAATCTCGCTATTTTGACTTTACAAGTTGATGACGTCACTGTGAAAGCCATCTATAATTGACATTTTAACGCGCGAGTTTCTATATAAATATTAGCGCGTTTACTGTTTCTGAATTAGTAATAATTTAAAAAAAAATGTATATTGTAACCATAGCAGCCAACCACCACATTTTGTGTAAAATGTGTCCATTTGCATTAAGAGTATAGTAAAGCACGGTTAATCTATTCTCTGCAATAAGAATAGTGGAAAAATAGTGCTAAATGAATTCCCTCTTTTTAATTTGCACTCAAAAACGTGATCATTCTTATCATAGGTAAGTCTAAAGAAACTCTCAAGAAAAGCTTTCTTGCAAGTGGATAAACAATCTGGATTTAATCTGCTCCAGGCGGCTGTCTTAGAGGGAAAATACGACATTGTTTTAAAAGCTAATGGCCTTCTTGAGAATTTTTTGGAAGAGATGGAACATAGAAAAACGGGAAATAACGCCGAAAGATTTCCAGGGAAAACTGCAGTTGACATCTTATCACTTGTGTTGGGAACAAAATCAAGTCATTATGGTATCGAAAGATTTTATAAAAACTGGGCTGAAAACAACAGCAGACTGACTGAGCTGCAGTGGGGTACATGCAATGACGATGTGGAACAGGCGGTGGAGTTTGTATTAAGTGACGGTGTAGATATTAATGCCCGAGCGTCAGACAATGATAACACAGCTTTGTTGTGGGCGAGTTGTTCAACCTCAAGTCAGTTCATTGAGACCTTCATTGATCTAGGGGCCGACGTTAATGCCCAAAGGAAAGATGACAAAGTTACACCTTTAATATTAGCGATTGAATGGAACAACTACATGGCAGCGTGCTTGCTTTTAAGGCATGGAGCTGATGTAGATGTCCAGGGTGGTGATGGGCTCACACCACTGCACTTTTCAGTCGATAAAGGTCACAAAAACCTCATCAGATTGTTAGTTGAACACAACGCGGATGTAAATATTCAAGATACAAGGGGATATACACCCTTGCACTTGTGTACCTTTGAGGGTAACGAAAACCTCTGTAGATTGTTACTTGAACACAACGCGGATGTAAACATTCAAGATACATGGGGATATACACCCTTGCACTTTTGTGCCAGAGAGGGTAACGAAAACCTCTGTAGATTATTACTTGAACACAACGCGGATGTAAATATTCAAGATGAAGATGGAGATACACCCTTGCACCTGTGCGACAGAGAGGGTAACGAAAACCTCTATAGATTGTTAGTTGAACACAACGCGGATGTAAATATTCAAGTTACACGGGGATATACACCCTTGCACTTGTGTGCCAGAGAGGGTAACGAAACCCTCTGTAGATTGTTACTTGAACACAACGCGGATGTAAATATTCAAGATACACGGAGAGATACACCCTTACACTTGTGTGTCATAGAGGGTAACGAAAACCTCTGTAGATTGTTACTTGAACACAACGCGGATGTAAATATTCAAGATACACGGGGATATACACCCTTGCACTTTTGTGCCAGAGAGGGTAACGAAACCCTCTGTAGATTGTTACTTGAACACAACGCGGATGTAAATATTCAAGATACATGGGGATATACACCCTTGCACTTGTGTGCCAGAGAGGGTAACGAAAACCTCTGTAGATTGTTACTTGAACACAACGCGGATGTAAATATTCAGAATGAAGATGGAGATACACTCTTGTACTTGTGTGCCAGAGAGGGTAATGAAAACCTCTGTAGATTGTTACTTGAACACAACGCGGATGTAAATATTCAAGTTACATGGGGATATACACTCTTGCACTTGTGTGCCAGAGAGGGTAACGAAAACCTCTGTAGACTGTTACTTGAACACAACGCAGATGTAAATATTCAAGATACATGGGGATATACACCTTTGCACTTATGTGCCAGAGAGGGTAACGAAAACCTCTGTAGATTGTTACTTGAACACAACGCGGATGTAAATATTCAAGATACATGGGGATATACACCCTTGCACTTGTGTACCAGAAAGGCTAACGATAACCTCCGTAGATTGCTGCTTGAACACAACGCCATGCAGCGACATCCCAAGTTTGAACTGAGTTCTGCGCAAAAAGCTATCGAAACAAAATATACAACAGGTGTCGCTTCCGTTCAAGGTGCAGAAAAACTCAAGTCAAATCTCAAATCGGAGAAAACACTGGGGCAAAACCCCTCGTATACACCTACAACATTGAAAACAGAGGAACTGTGGGAAACCCCCAAAGGAACAAAGGAATTTTAGTACCGGAAGCTAAACAAGTAAAGGCACTAGTAGTGAGACACCCCAAATCAAAGGCGACTACATCCTCAAGAGCAAATAAATGAGTAATGGCTTAAATATTAAGATTTTTTTCAGAGTTGTGTTTTTGAGAAAAGGCCCGGCTGTTAAGTCCATAAAAGAGAAGAGTTTATTCTTATTAAGCTAACGTTAAACTAGTTTGTACAACAAGTTTTTGTACTAGTTTGTACAAAATTAATTACAAATATGAGGAGAGTATCTTATCCTCAACGCTAATTTGAAAATTGTAAAATCGACGCTTTTACAAGTGTTTTAACCGACGTTTTGGCAATGCTGCCTTCTTCAGGATACAAACGTTCGTAATAGGGCACGTGAGCTACGTAATTTAACGAACTTTGTAGCGGGAAACCTTTTAATGGTGTATATTCCTTTTGTACCCCGAAGAAGGCAGCATTGCCGAAACGTCGGTTAAAACTCTTGTAACAGAGGACGTACTTTGAATTTCAAATGTGTAGTGTAGATCGGTTTTAAGAACAGTCAACTCCCTTTATATAGCGGACACTGTAGGGAACTCTGTTTAGTCACGGTCGGCCTTATTAGTGAGAGTGCGTAATAACGGGAGTTTATTTTAGTCAGACATCTGTAATTTATTTTTGCATGAGATTTAGTTGCTGTCCGTATTATCGGGGTGTCTGTTATTGCGGGAGTCCACAAGGCTAGAGTTGACTTATAAGAATTTTTGAAAGTAATAACCGTAAAATTTTAAAATTATAACATAGCTGGAATATTCGCCTAACTGATCATATTGTTATTCGATAGCGTCAGTGTGTTTCGTATTCCAGTTGAGCACGCTTGTGACGTCAACAAATTGCCACTTCGAGTTCTTATGAGCTTAGTAATCCTCCCAAGAGCATCCATGACTCAATAGTAGTAGTCTGCTACACAGCCGTTTTTAGTGTCGTCAGGCAGGAGGAGCGTTGCGTGACGACACTTAAAACGGCTGTGTAGCAGACTACAATAGTACACGATGAAGCGTTTAAGATCTTGTCTTAGATGTCTCAGATGATCGCGTCATTAAGAGGTGACACTAAGCCGTTAGCCCTGTCTTCTTCATCCTTTCTTAACAATTGGAAAGGACAACGTAAAAGAACCCTCGTTGGTATTCGAAAAGAGTAGAAAAAGCAGACCCCAACGGTGGTGGGGTCTATCTCTTATGTAGCCTGTGTACGGACCCCCCTCCCCTCAGGAAAAATCGGATTTTTCCCGAGGGGAGGTGCGTTATATTTAGAATACGAGAGCAATAAAAATATTTTAATGGCATCCAACTTGCATTTATGAGTACTGTTGCGTCTTCCATGTCTCTTGGTAGTTTGTGGATAAGTCTTGCTGCTCTGAGGTGGATTAGTTCTAGATCTTTCATCAAATAATCTGAGCAAGAGCCCGACACAGCCATACCATATAATACGCTTGGGATTACTGTTTTGTAATGAATTGTTTCTAGTGTGGCTTTTGGTAAAGAGCTTATGCGTCTTAACATTTGAACTTTAGAGCTGTATGAGACCGATTTTACATAGTTGGCCCAGGAGAGTCTTTCATCAATGGCTATACCAAGACATACAGAGAAAGATCTGTATTCAATGGTTTTGTCTCCCCAAACTAAAGGCTTCAGAGGGCCAATAAAGGGTTTTGTATCCAGGAATACTGAATCGCATTTACCTTTATGAATAATTAACGTATTCTTTTAGCACCAGGTTTGTAGCTGATCTAATATCACCTGGAGGGCTATAGCAACCTCATCAGTAGTATTACCAATGGTATAAATGGTAGTGTCGTCAGCATACATGTAAACTTCGCCACTTCTAATGCTGTCTGGAAGATTATTTATATAAGTAATAAAAAGCCTAGGTCCCAACAGGGAACCCTGAGGAACCCCAGTATTCCGAAAATGCGCCATCTAGGATCGATAGGATAAAAGCTATATCACGTGGTATTCAGGGGGCAAACAAGTGATCATATTTGCCAATATAAGTAATCGCGGTCGAGTTTGTTTATTCTGTCAAACGAGACGACGATTTCAAAGTTATCCGAAGTGTTGGGAAGATTTACGTCATTACTGTTTGCCATGAGGACATTTACGGTCGCTACTGCATATTGTAAAGTAACAATGATCACTTCCACCCATATTTTAAGATTATCCTCTTTAAGATAAACAGGTCTTCATTTCCTTTTGTCTAGGATAAACAATCTCAACCGCGATTTCTTCCATTGCCAATGTTTTTCACTTGTTTGCCCCCTGAGAAACCAACAATCTCGATCCCAGGGCTGGCGGGTATCGTCAATAAGGTATATTTAGCTGAATGAAAAGCGGTCATTTACTCCATGGGGACTAAAAATAATGATTTTAAAAAGATGAATTATTGTTCTTGATTTAGGCGACTTCTTGTACCGGGGGATTCTCCCTATGATGGCCTATACCCGACGGGGACGCTCCCCTCGAAAGGGGTACCTAGCTTTTGTAGGCCTCAGGTATATCAAAGGGTAGCGGTTTCACTAGTTGAAGTATATTGAAGAGTAGGTAAATCTGTCATTTGGGTCTGTAAAAGGGCCCAAAAGGGCTAACAGAACAATTTTATGGCTTGAAAACGTCGGGAAACGTTCTATTTTGTGATTAATTCCTATGTAAAAGACAGTGCATTTACAGCGGTTAAAAGGAAGGGGTACCTTTTTCGTGAAAAATGCTATATTAAGGGTAAGGGGTTGGACCTCGGGGCGGAGCCTCCTCGAATAAACATTTGTTGAGTACCCCCCCTCCCCCCCAGGTTTTGGTGTTGCACTGGATTGCGAGGTACAGACCTCTTTAGCTTGTATGTTTTGTTTTCCCAATAGAGGTCCCAGGGGAACTTGACACTTTGTCATTTCGCGCGTACATATGCACGTGAACAAGACGAAATTTGAAAGAAACAGTTCTCTAGAGTATTATCACATGACCTGTATTGAGAAAACAAAACATACAAGCTAAAAAGGTCTATTAGAGAGGTTAAGCATCACGTGACGTCTAACGTCAAATGCAAATTTGTACCACGTGACCAAGTTTCCCCTTTGCAGTACACTTGTCGTTTACTGTTCATTATTTCAACACATAAATCAGAGTAGTTTCACGCGATGTTTTATCCATAATAATTGTTTTGAGCTCTTTTATTTTGCTCATTTTTTATTTTTTAACCTGAATCTGACGTTTGCCGTATACGTGAAGCTTAGGAACTCTCTAAATACACAGAAGAAAAAGGGAAGCAGTCTACAAACACTCCATTGCGACAAATATCAGGCTATTATCATCAGGCTAGCCCGGCAGGCTAGACTCATCATAAAGGAAGATTATTTTTTTTAATTCTTGTAGAAATTTTAGGATACAATGGGGATCCCGAGACACGCCAGGATGCAACAGAACTTGAACAGGGTTACATTCCTTCCCAAGAAATGAAAGAGGAGAATTTTGCAAGTGTGACGAGTTTTGAATTGTAGAACAATTTTTTAAAGCGTTTTGTGTGACTATTAAACGCATGTGCACCGCATGGCATCAAGTTTACAGCACACAGCTCAGTATACTTTTTTATGGTTGAATCAGCAAGCGGGAAAGACGAATCTTAAGAATACAAATATTGGTGATATCAAACACAAATGGGAATATTTTCAATCGCTGAAGCCTTTTTAGACCAGGAGCCCTGAAGACGGATTTATTGAACTTTTAGTGAATTTTTCAGACAGAATTTGTAAGGGTGGGTGTTTTAAAAACGTATCTGCTCCCCAGGAAAGGGAAGGGAAAGGGGAGAGAGAGTCTGTAGACAAACAGTTGAGGCCGCTATTCCGCCCTCTTGTATCCTGCCGATCATCTGTCAATAAGGTCGTTATCTGTCAGTCAATTTCGCGCGTGAGTAACTCCTGGGAAAATTAACGGGAAATGAGCGGTGTTTTGCTCCATCTGTAGCCTGAGTATCAGGCCTTCCTAAGAGGCTAGGGGAGAGGAGATTTTCTTTGGCTTCCCCCTGATCTTTCCCCTTTTCCCTCAGAAAGGCCTGATATTCAGGCTACTCCATCTGAAAACAGAGTGAAATGGAGCGCGAGCCTCCTTGTCGATTTTGCAAAGAGTCGTTGATCTCCGGTAAGAGAATTAATACGGTGCCGGTCTTTGGCGTTTTAAGAAATCAGACCTTGCTGGTTGACAGTGGTCAAGACAGCGTTGTACTAGCGCAAGCATTTGAATCCTTAAGGTTTCCAGTTGAGCAAGGAGAAAGCTTTTCCGATTAATAAGCTGCTTAACTTGTGCGCGACACCCAGTTCGTCGTGCTAGTTCAGTTTCTAATTTAACAAGCCCCTGCAATGAGTGAACTTGGAATGCGAAAGGTACAGTTACTATCATGACTTCTCCAGAACGTGAAGCTCCGAAGATCTGTACAAAGCTGTTTCGCTTTTCCCTCTCCCCAGTTCCCCGCTCGACCAAAGGCCTCACAGGCTCCCCAGGACATCTGTCGGGGTATTTCATGTGGCATACATAGAGTAGATTTCTGAGGCTAAATGATGGCGGTGTCGGTCTGATTCCGGCTGTGATGATTGTATGAGTCAAATTAAAGGAGGTATTACTGGAAGAACATCGAAAGAAAGATACGAACAGCTAATCTTGGAGCTGTGTAGCAGGGTAAGAATCGCCTTTTGTTTCTTAAGGTATCCTCTCACTGATAAATTTGCAGGAAAATTTGTTGATCTGTGATTATGAGATCAGGCCCTTGGCCTTCTGTTTTCATTTGATGTTGCGTTAACTTGTAAAGAAGTCCAAGAAAAATTATTTCCACCTAAAATGTTTGTGAACTGTTCTTTTTAGTAACTGTATATATAACATTAACGAGCAGTAACCGAGATGAATTAGTGTAAATGTTAATGTTCATGACGATCGACTCAATGCACTTCCGGCTTTGAAGGCCTCCATTAGTGAGCTAACATTTTAGAAAGAAAAACAGCTTTGTTATTATTCAGGTGCATTCAATGGGGGCCAGATCATTTCGAAAAAAAGCATAGAGTTTGCAAAATGCAACAACACACTGATCTCTTTCCAACTGAATCGCTTCCCAACTTCCTCCAGGTTGAAGTGATTCACCGACTGCTGTTGAAGGGAGGGTTTATCTTGTGAGTTGCCCCCATTGCAAAGTTATTTCATCTAATATCTAATGCCATAAGTTTGGATAACCAAACATTTCTCGCTTGGTATGTGGATTCTTTCATTAACTTTTTTCAGGACCAAAATTTTTATTTGTTTCTTTATTTCTCTTTCATTTTCCAAAGAATATGGTATATAAGGGAGGGGGGAGGGGGAATTCAGGGAGCTGGGGCCTGCAGGTGTCAGTCTTTTGGGAGGGGCAACCTGTAGGGGCTCAGTTGACCTTGGTTCACTTCAGTATATTCATTTAAAAAAACAATTAAACCCAGCTGATGCATTCTTTTAGTAAAAGATCAATTCATTTATTAGTACGTCCTAATAAGTATTATTTGTCCACATGTACATGCAAACTTGCCTACCATCATTGTAACTCATGTACTGCACAACTACTCCTGGTTGTTCAAAAGATGGATTACGTTATTCACTGGACTGAGTGAATAAGTATTTATTAGGAAAACTAATTGCACTATCCACTGGATAATGTTCTGTCTGGATGGATATAGCGTTATCCACCTTTTGAACAACTGGCGCCTGCAGTAAACAATAATGGAACATCACACATGGAAAGAGAGGTGTGTGTACTTCAGGTGGTTACACCTTTTAGAGTATAGTAAACAATAATGCACCAACATCACACATGGAAAGAAAGGTATGTGTACTTCAGGTGGCTACACCTTGTATAGTATATAATTGTATGAATCTACCTTTTGAACACCCTTTGCTTTCCTTAAAACGTATCTCCTGGTAGCCTGAATTTCATTCGATTGCTTCGAGTCGTTTTCTCCTCTCAGCATTATTTGAATCGACTAGCCATTAATGCCATCCAGTGATGTCACTACTTCCCAAAAACCGGGTAGTGATTTTGATTGGTTGATTGTCGAAACATTCGCATAATTATGTATAATTATGGGAAATTTTTGCAGGATTTTTGCTTGATATTCAGTGGATTGCATTGGTGGCATGCTTACATGGAGTTCAAACATCTCTATAATCTTTATTGTAAACCAGAAAATTGCCCTTGTCTTCGAAACTGAATTGCTAAATTGATCTGCCAATGAAGAATCATTGCGGAGATCGAGTCGGTAGGTTTTTCATTTAGAGCCGCTTTGTGGTTTCCGCGGTGATTTTCTTAATGCAAAGTTTCTGAGACCAATATGTCATGTTGTCATTCAACCTTCTTGCTACTCACCGTCAAGTGTAATGATTCTGTTAGCTTTTCTTTCTTCTTTCCTTGTTTTCTTTTTTCTTCATTAAGGACCAAAATTCTTGTCAATTATAGGAAATTGATGCATTTTTGAACTACCGTATTTATTCGATTAACTGCCCTGGGTGCCTATTAAATTTTTGGACCTTGAGAGTGGGCGCTTATTCGAGGTGGGCGCTTATTAAATTTTCACCATTTTCAGCAAGTGAAGTATGTTTATTTTGCAACAAAACAATAAATGCTAATAACAGAATGTGAAGAAGTAACAAAGCAAGGTTTCTGTAAAGTACTCTGAAGAAAACTCCGTCCTCGGGGAAGTCTCTTGTTAGAATTTATTCACTCAAGTGGGTGGGGTGGGGGTGAGTGCTTATTTGAGTTTGATTAGGAGGAGGAGGGGGTGGGCACTTATTCGAGGCTGGGCACTTATTAACTTTTTCTGCCTTTAGGATTGGCGCTTATTCGAGGTGGGCGCTAATTTGAGGTTGGGCGCTTATTCGAATAAATACGGTAAGTGTTCCGTATGTGTATTTATTTCATTTCGTGATTGCGACAGAGTTTGAATTACAACCGGTTCAGAGTACTGCATGCAGTTGATAGTTTGAACGTTAAACATAAGTTACAATCGAAAAGAGTAAAGCATTTCTCTCAGCTGTTTTGTATCATGCAGACTTTTCAAAATGATATTTCTTGTTTTGCCAGTTGAAAATCGTGTTTTGCTTTTTGCATGAATGAAAGCAAAGGAGTAGTCATGTCACTGGACGGCATTAACGGCCAGTCGATTCAGATTTACTGACGGAGTAATAACGACTCAAAGTAATTGGATACAATTCAGGCTAATCTACTTAATGGTTGCATTGATTTGGTGTATAACACTATCACACCTTTGAACAACTGTCGTTTACAGCTTGTTCCAAGCACTCCACAGCCTTACAGACATTGGCAACTCTTTCCTGTTTATTAATATGCCTTATGGCAGTTTTTGTTGATAAGGAAGCTTGGGGGAACTGTAAGTAACCTAACTCAATAGCTCTTTTTCATTACGGAAAATCCAGGAAATGATATCGTACAAAAATGTAAATTAAAAATAGTTATCAACAGCGTCCTATTTATTTCCCTTAGTTGGGCTGAAAATTGCATTTCGGAGCTTCTAAATTTCAAAAGGTTCTACGTAACTGTATGCCTTTAGGCAACCATGATTGAAAAGGCTGTACAACCTTACAATTATTTTTCATTCCCCTAAGCCTGTTTCACCATATTGGCAGCCACATACACGTATAAAGGGAAACCACAGCAAAGGCACAAACATGCAGTATGGTCATTGTTACTTTAAATCCTATGAAATTATGATAATGACTAAAAACTTCTATCTACATTAATTTTCCCCCACCACCTCTCTCACACAAATTTTCTAATGAAGAGAAATTAAAGAAATTAACATCCGTGCAATATCAACATACAAAACAACTGATTTGTAATATCAAATCAATCAATCTTGTCAGACACTCAGTGCTCTCAGTTACTGAACACGTCAGCTAGACTATTAATAGATGCTTCATGCCCATTGCCCTACCCTTGGGTTCTTCTTGCTTGCCACCATTTCTGCATGTGCATTTTCATGTAGTTGTGAATTGTTTCCCCCATCTATCTATAGCCACAACCCCCAACAACTCCCTCCCTGCAAGCTGAGTGAAGAAAATGTTCCCACAAATGAAAATGTCCCCCCAAACGGGGAGCCAGGCAAGAGTCTGGTTCAGTCTCCACCCTAGATTTAGATCACTTAAGTTCATGACCAATTAGTTAATCTGAAAATCTGAAGAAATTAGAACTAGTTTTATTACAAGATGTAAAGCATTTTAAGTATTGAGTATTGATGTCTTCATTACAACCAATTACCTTGGTTTTTCTTGTTGTTGTTGTTTTTTGGCAAAGAGTTTAACTTAACTTAACTTTATTATAACATATCACACACTCAAAAATACATGAGAACAACCATAGTCGGGGGCTTAAATGGCCTAAGGTTTCTTCCCCCACCCCCCTCTCTGCCCCTCTCTTTAAAAAGAGGTCTGTTTTACTCAGTAATTCCAAGAGAAAAAAACATCTGGAAATCCTGACCTGTTTGATTGCTCTGATTATTTTTATTAAAAGACTAATCTAGAGTTATCATATTCCTTTAATTTTATTTGCTGTTTACAAATGTACCTGTGCCTGTTGCTTAAGGCAGAAAGAAACTGGGAAGCAATCTTACGTTTTGATGATTTATTGTGTTAATTAATGACATTTTTCAATCAGCTTCCATTTTGATGGAAGTTTTTGTCTTAGAGAAGGATCATATAATGCAGGAGTTAATGTCTTGATAATTATTATAATATATTATTAAAAGATAAAAAGACCTCTGCTTAATTACTTTATTGACAGCAGAGAGCCACATGTTATCTGCTATTGTGTGGCCAGCAGTGTTATTGTACTGTGAAATCAATGATAACCATATTCTGCTAAACATCGAATGTTCAGACTTAAAAAACTTGCTTGACATTGTGATGAAAGTCAAACCTACCTGAAGTATTAGGACTAATTGTTACTACTAGGAAAGTCATTTTAATTTCTTATTTTTCCCTTTATCAGCCATGGCTGCCTCATCCAGTCAACCTGAGACCATGAAAGCAGAATGCAGTCTCAACAACCCAAAGGTTTATTCTTTTTTCTTAATTCTTTTTATAATAAGCTGTATTTTATTCCTATTACACTATATACAGTGTCATTTCATGGCCTTTAAAGAGAACTTTATGATTATTTGGTGTTGTGTCCCAAAAAGAAACATTAAAAGTTGCCAGATGCTTTGTAAAAACTGGTTTCATCCAGAGAACAGAAAACTACATGCAATGGTGTGATCGTGTCCTTTTGGTGCATGGGTGCTGTGAAAATCAGGAATAGAGTGGAGATTACATTTAGGGCATTATATTTTGTTTGTTTGATTAATAATAAAATTAGAGAGTATTGTTGACAGGCCTGATTAATTCCTATTTGATAGAAGGGGTTTGTTTCTAAAGACACTGTAATACGTGTTACTATGATGGGGAATTGGAGTGATTACCCCTATCAACGTAGTTTACAACTTATGTACTAGCAGTTGACAGTTACCAAACCTGCTATGTCTTTTGGTCGTGTATTTCCTATTCACTGTTGTTAATATTGTTTTTGTAGGCTTGCTATTCTGAGACCAGTGATCCAATGTTGCATGTCACTCTTCTTGGTGGTGAGTGGAGTTCATCTGCTGGTGGTTTGTCAACATTAAACAGGGAGCTTGCTATTCACCTTTCAAATCATTCAGCAGTGAAGGTTTCTCTTCTAGTCCCAGAGGGAGCTTGTAATTATGAGGAAAAAAATGAAGCCCATACCTATGGAATCACTATTGTTGAGGCGAAGAGACTTGCAGCATTTGATCGTCTTGATTGGTTAAGCTTTCCACCCCATGAGCACCTCATGGATATCGTTGTTGGCCATGGTGTAAAACTTGGTCGGCAAATACAGGTCATTAGAGACTCTGCTCGATTTACAAATTGTAAGTGGGTACAAGTGGTGCATACTGCTCCAGAGGACTTAAGCAAGTACAAATGCTATGATGACCCCATTTCAAAAGGTGAAACAAAACACGAATCAGAAGTTGAACTTTGCAAACTTGCGGATCTTGTTGTCCCTGTGGGACCCAAACTAAAAGAAACGTACACTTCCTATTTGCAGCGATGTAAGACACATCAAGACGTTTTGACCATTACTCCAGGTCTTTTTCAAAGGGAGTTTGGGGATTTAGTTGCAAAACAAGATCCTAACGAGGATGGTGAATTCAAAGTGTTGTTATTTGGTCGAGGGGATGATGAGGATTTTGAACTCAAAGGATACAACATTGCTGCCCAAGCATTTACTGATCAACGGCTAAAAAACAAACCTTACCATCTAATCTTTGTCGGAGCACCTGAAGGAAAGCAAGAAGAAATAAGAGAAAAACTTCTTCAATGTGGTATCGCAGAAGCACAGTTGACTGTTAGAAAATTTATACAAAGTAGAGACAGACTGAAAGATTTGCTGTGTGAAGCTGACCTTACCATCATGCCATCAAAATCAGAGGGATTTGGTCTTGTCGCACTTGAGGCCTTGTCTGCAGGCCTACCCATTCTTGTAGGCAGTAGGTCAGGATTTGCCAAAGCATTAGAAAATGTTCCTCATGGTAATACATGCAACGTGAATTCAGATGATCCCGCAAAATGGGCAGAGGCAATTGAAGGTGTTCGTGTTAGGCATCGAATGCGACTCAAAGAGATTAAAGCACTAAAAACATCTTATGGAGAAATGTACAGTTGGAAGGAACAATGCAAAGCCCTTGTGGAGAGAATGTGGAAAATGGTCCATGGTAAGAGTTGTTGCTTTGAAACTCATGCATAAAACAGTGAATATGATGAACACTATTTTGTACATGTTATTTTGACTTTTGCCTGTGTGTTCCAAACATTATTGTGATCGGCCACTTAGTTACAATCATCTTTACATGTTCATTGTTTTCTTGTCTCGACACTCATTAATAAAACCTAGTGTTTTTGTATTTTGGTAATTTGGTATTTTAGTAGTGTTGATGTAACTTGGTATTTCATAGGGCCATAAACTGTAAGTTGAAAAAGTTATGTGTGTTACAGGTCAAATTTGTTCTCAGGTTAAATATTTTTAACCTAGGTTGATTCTTGATTCCCTCTGTCTATTAGGGCTAGAAGACAAAGGAAATTGAGAATCAACGTAGGCTAAATCAAAATTAACCTGGGATCGAATTTGACCTGCAACATGTACAGTACGTGAATGTTCTATCATGAAAAATATGGCTGAAGTAATTGAAATAAGGCAGTCCAAATTAACAGTGCAATGATATGCAATCCAAAAGCACTTGCTATTCCAGAACATTTAGTGAATCTTTTGCAGTTAACAGGTTCTTTAAAACAACTCTATTAACTTTCTCTTCAGCAGAAAGGGGCTTTCATCTTTTTTCTCTCACAATGACAGTATTTTTAAAACCAACCAACAGGGTCTTCCGAAAATGACAACAAGCCCAGAGATGAAGAGCCACTGGTTGAAGAAACTTCTCGTGCTGAAAAGAGAGCTCATTTTGCAGCAGGAAGTCAAACTAAAAGTAGCTGTAAGCATATTTCAGGTATGGAAAAACATTATTTGCTTTCTGTTGCTTCTGGTCTCTGTTATGAGCAAAGGGTGGGGTGAGAGGCCCTCTTAAAAGTGTTTACCGTTTAATTTGTAGCAGGGAAAAAATCCATACTGCAGGGTGTCCAGTTCCTGTTTTTTCCTATTTTTTGAGCATATTCCTATTTTCTCCTTTTTTTAAACCAAAACCTCCTATTTTTCCTATTTTTTAGTTGGTGAAGCCATAATTTGCAAAAATATTGAAAATGGAATAATAGTTGTATTGTGTTTTAGGGTGAGATTTATCATAAAGCAAGTTGTATGTTGACCTTGATGTTCTAATATTAGTAAAAATAATAGCTACATTTGTTCTTTCCATGACCTCTATTGTCCATTAGAATTCTGTTAACAACTTTGTTATAATTATTGTTACTTTTTGCATAATTTTCTAGTGCACTTACATGTACATGTATTGTATGTAATGTTTCACTTCTCATGACTATTAAATAATATTGTGCATAGCCCACTGAAACTGCATTTCAGTCTCTCTACACTTCATGATGTAATTATTTTGAAGTCTTGCTCCCTTTTATGTTCATCTTTGAAACTGAAAACATGATCAAGTTGCCCTTTCACAACACAGATCAGATAAATCATCCAATCAGCTTGTTGTTTAAAGAACTAATCACTAGCTGGATTCTGTATGCTACGTGAAAAGAACAGACTCAAGTATAGTTTACGGCACTAGCTCTCTTGGTGAGCTCTTATTAAGAGCTATACCTAAGCAACTGATGAAGGATACAATATTTTGGTTCCGAAACTGTTCTTCCGGTCATAGCTAAGAAGAGAGTTAGATTCCTCTTAGAACTTAACCATAACGCACTGTCATTTTGCATACACTGCGGAAAGCCAGGTTTGGTACTTAAAACTATGCGGTCTTTTGACTCAAACAATCATATTCTCAACCAGCTACCGATTGTAGATTAATGGAAGGAAAGATATCATGGAATTTTTTAGTTCAATATCCTTTAATGACAACGAAATCTTAAGAAATTTCTGTCCTAAGAAGCTTTTCAAAGATTTGCCGCCAACTAGAAGGGATTTGCCATATGATCAGCTTTGATTATAGAACGCGCTCGACCTGTAGCCAAGAATGTCATCCTGATTACAGCGTAACTGAGCCAAAAAACTAAATGTTACTGATCTTTTTCACTCCTTCTAAGCCGCGAACGTAAAGGCTAAGGACTCGTGGCCTTTATTATAGCCCTGATGGGATGCGGGGAGACTAACTATGTCGACAAAAGTACCATTGATTTCCTGTTTTTCTCCTATTTTTTAATACAAAGTTTCCTATTTTTCCTAGTTTCTCAATCCCGAGTTTCCTATTTTCCTATTTTTTTGAGCAACCATGCCACTGGACACCCTGATACTGCCCACTGAACTGAGCTGAACGAAACAACATTATTTATACGGGTCACATCTTCTAAACTGGCTACACGTAGCTTAGAAACAGGGGAAACCTGTGCTAACCTCGATACTGACGCCTTCTAATGTTACGGTAAATCTCTGTTCTTGGTTTTCACCCATGTGACCCGACGCTTGATAACGATTGCTATCCGCCATGTTGGTGTCCCTCAAACGTAACCAAAACCAGCTCGAACAGATATAGTTATGGTTGTTTGCATCGTTGTCGGTTGTTGGAGGAAAAGTGAGAAGAAAAACACCCAAGGATTTTTTCATATTCCAACATTTGTCAAGAACCAAGGAGAGGAATTCGAAGAAACCACTACAGAGAGGAGAAATCTCTGGATTTCGGCCGTAAGTCGAGACGATGACCAGGAGACATGGTCATTGCGGATAAGGGTTTAATCGTCGCAGACAGAGTTGATACAAAGTCGTTTCGATACAAGTTTATTCAGTTGACTTGTAAATAGTTTCACGAACATGGCGTAAAGAACAAGGAATATTCACCCAAAATGCTTTCCTGGTCACGCACATACTATACTTGTCATACTTGCGGTGATCGAAATTTTTGTGCAATTTCAATGCTTGAGTTCGTATCAAAACGACCGGTTTCCGCGGAGAGTGTTGGCTTAGAGCAAGCCAAGCTGGTCATTCCAGCATTTACAAAAGGGAAGTCACATTTGCATCCAGTTGAGAAAAAAAAAACAGNTTTTCTCCTATTTTTTAATACAAAGTTTCCTATTTTTCCTAGTTTCTCAATCCCGAGTTTCCTATTTTCCTATTTTTTTGAGCAACCATGCCACTGGACACCCTGATACTGCCCACTGAACTGAGCTGAACGAAACAACATTATTTATACGGGTCACATCTTCTAAACTGGCTACACGTAGCTTAGAAACAGGGGAAACCTGTGCTAACCTCGATACTGACGCCTTCTAATGTTACGGTAAATCTCTGTTCTTGGTTTTCACCCATGTGACCCGACGCTTGATAACGATTGCTATCCGCCATGTTGGTGTCCCTCAAACGTAACCAAAACCAGCTCGAACAGATATAGTTATGGTTGTTTGCATCGTTGTCGGTTGTTGGAGGAAAAGTGAGAAGAAAAACACCCAAGGATTTTTTCATATTCCAACATTTGTCAAGAACCAAGGAGAGGAATTCGAAGAAACCACTACAGAGAGGAGAAATCTCTGGATTTCGGCCGTAAGTCGAGACGATGACCAGGAGACATGGTCATTGCGGATAAGGGTTTAATCGTCGCAGACAGAGTTGATACAAAGTCGTTTCGATACAAGTTTATTCAGTTGACTTGTAAATAGTTTCACGAACATGGCGTAAAGAACAAGGAATATTCACCCAAAATGCTTTCCTGGTCACGCACATACTATACTTGTCATACTTGCGGTGATCGAAATTTTTGTGCAATTTCAATGCTTGAGTTCGTATCAAAACGACCGGTTTCCGCGGAGAGTGTTGGCTTAGAGCAAGCCAAGCTGGTCATTCCAGCATTTACAAAAGGGAAGTCACATTTGCATCCAGTTGAGAAAAAAAAAACAGAGGGATAGCAAGTGTTCAAATCCATGTGGAGAGGACTATGGGGTTGCTGTGGCACAGGTATACCATTTTAGAGGGAACAATTCCGTCCGATTTTCTTGCTTCAAACCGAAATGGATCCCCTTGTAAACAGATCCTGATGATCGTATTGTGAGGGTTTGCTCTGCACTTGTCAATTTATTCCCACCAAATAGTTGTCCTTTTTCCGTTGCTTTTGACTAGATCTGTTTCGTAAATGATTAAGTCACAGAAAATATCCATGCTCCCGCAAAGAGCGTTTTGTTTTTTTTTACCCTAGATATTAGGTTCATATTTTCTTTGGCCTGAAATTTTGTCTGTAAATCGCTTTCCCACCTCTAATTTCCAATTACGGCCTCAGTGTTAAAAGAGTGGTTACTTTCTGGATCTTTCATTTCCAGTTGCATACTTTTCAAGAAAGCAAAGTAGGATTTGCTAGTCTTGTTCTGAAGGGTTTTCGTTGGGGAGCCCTCACTGTGACGTTGCTGTTCAGTCAATTCCCCCAATTTTATTAAAACAAATTGTTTCTTCCTGGGTCTTGTGATATACAAAGGTGATTCTATTTTCCCGGGAAAATACATGTACCTAGGAGGGCAAGAAAAGGTTAAAGTCATTTAAGAAGTTAGTCCTCGGGAGAGCGCCTGTGCCCAGCTACAGCTAAATAACTGTTTCCATTTCAAAAGATAGCTTGAAGCTCTTTTAGCCTGTGTACAACCGCCCTCTCCTTGCAAACAAAATTAGACTGCGCGCAGTCTCTCTTGTTCTTCAGTTTTCGTGAGAGGAGTGCACGCGCGCGCGAGCGTCAAGCCCGTCTCGTGTGTTCAGTCTCGCGCGTGGTTTTTCTACTGTCTCGCGAGTTTCGATGAATGGACTAAGAAAAAAAGAGAGACTGCTCGTAGTCTAAAGCAAAATAGGCAAGAGAGAGGTCTATGTCCGTCGTTAATCAACTTCTGGTTTCCCTCGATTGTCAGGGAAATCCTCTGATTAGATGTCATGTTGATACCGTGACGTAATCTCCCAGGATAAAAACTTAAGCGTGTCTCCCCAAGTTTTTTTGAATGGAGGGGGTGGATGTACACAGACTCTATAAGGGGACACCTGGGGGCTTTATCAGCTGTCCGTCTGCGAGGGTGCACGCAATCTACTACCAACACCTGCAACTGGACATGTCTTGACTGCTTGGATCAACTAAAACAGCTACCGTTCGCAGATGTGAGCAATTTTGACACAAGCGGCAGCTCGGTTGATATAAACAAAGAACGCGATACACAGTTGGACATTTGGTCTTCTTTTGATGCAGTAGCAAGCAACATCGCCATTCGGCATAGAAACAAGCTGTGGAAAGCTGTGGAAAAAATTCACTCATTATCGCACTGATCCTCATTACGACCTTTTTAAGAAAAGAGGAATATCTGTACTTCACTGAGACGAAAGGCAGTCAAGGCGTATTTTCTCAATAAATTGGAAACAGCAGACTTAAATGATTTTTGGAATACTTATCGTCCGTTCCTTCACAAGTCCTTTAGGGACAGTTGTGACGTCATGGAGCTATTGTTGTCGAGGAAAATGGTGGATAGATTACCTAAACGACCATAGTACGTACGTACATACATACATACATACATACATACATACATACATACATACATACATACATACATACATACATACATACATACATACATACATACATACATACATACATACATACATACATACATACATACATACATACATACATACATACATACATACATACATACATACATACATACATACATACATACATACTTTATTGCATAGCTCTCCCTTGGGGGATCTTCCGCCATACATACACGAATTTAAATAAAATAAAATAAACTAGAAAACTATTTACATTTCGATGATAAAATAACGAATTTCTATATGGATAATAATGATAGTAATAGAACATTAATTTTAAAAACTAGTTCCATTTTAATAATAAAAAACTGTCTATGAATTAAAAAGATATTTAAAAATTCTCTTTTTAAAAGCGTTAAGATTTCCCGTGTCTCTTATATCTTTAGTTATATTGTTGTACAGTTTTGCCCCACGGTAGGTGAAAGTCTTTTGGCCAGTGGCCAGCCTATACCGAGGGAACGTAAGGTCATTGTTCTGTCTAGTGACTCTTTGCTGAGTTTTTGCACGATATTGGAAGCGTCCGTGAAGGTAACCAGGTGTTAGGTTCTTTAAGCATTGTACAGCATCACTAGGTCGTTAAAAACATGATCCTACTTTCTTAAACCAGCTACGATTCTGCAGGCATAGTTCTGAACTAGCTGAAGTTTTCTAACGTTCTTCCTGCTCGTCCTAGTCCATACCGTCGAACAATAAAATAATTTGCTGAAAACGAAAGCATTTATAAGATAGATCAATGTTTTTTATCTAAGAGATGCTTTATCCTGTTAACTCTGGTGAATTTAAACATACAGTCAGAGGCAGTTTTAGTGATATGTTTGTTAAAGTAAAGATGACAACCTATATACACTCCCAGGTCCTTTGCAACTGTTACAGGCTTGATTTGAGTTCCCAGCATTGTCGCACTTGGTAATGGGGTAGGTAATGTCCTCATGAGTTGTGGGGCGCCCACATAAAGAAGCTTTGTTTTGTCAGGGTTAATGAGCAGCGAATTTCTACAGCACCAAATCGATATTTCTTTAAGATCTTCGTTTACTGCAGAGATAACGTCGTCAAGTTCGCTGGCGGGGAACTCAAGGAAGAGCTTGGTGTCATCCACATGGCCGAGTGGTTCGCAATGTTTCGGAACTCGAAAGAGGTCGTTTACATACAGTGTAAACAGCACCGGGCCCATGATGGATCCCTGCGGTACCCCAACAGAAAGGGGGAAGGGATCAGATACAGTATTCTGAAATTTAACGACTTGTTGACGTTGCGATAAATAGCTTTCGAACCAGGCGCACGCAGACTCAGATACACCAGCTTTGCGAAGTTTACGTAACATTAAATCGTGTCGAATGCTATCAAAAGCTTTGGACATGTCCAAGAGAACAATAACAGATATCTTCTTCTGATCCATGTTATTAAGCAATTCATCGGTGAAGTGAAGTAGTGCAGACTCTGTTGAGTGTAGTTTTCTATTTCCACTTTGTAGCTGATGTATGACATTGTTTGAATCGAGGAAATTGGTAAACTGCGAGTGAGCCGCTCTTTCGCATACTTTAGATAAAATAGGCAGTAGTGATATTGGCCTTGTGTTCGCAGGCTCTTCACTGTCCCCGGACTTAAGAATTGGAACGATTTCTGCTTTCTTCCATGGAAGTGAAAAAGTACTCAAAGTAAAGGAATTGTTGATAAGACTTGTTATAATGGCAGCGATATATAGTGAGCTGTCTTTCAGGATTTTGGCGTTAACTTTATCACAACCGGGAGCTTAATTTATTTGAAGGTAGACTCTTAATAATCTTATGCACATCGCCTGTGGTAATGGGTTGAAACGCAAATAAGGGAGTATTGTTTGGACAGGAGTTGCGATCAGATTCGCACGGATCAAGTCCCTCTGTGTCATGAATGTTAAAATTGTGTTCCTCGGCAAGCTTCGTGGCTTTCAAAGCTGTCATTGTACCTACATTTGCATAAAATTCATTGAATTTGTTTGCTAGGAGAAGCGGATTTTCGACAGTAGCTAATGGAGTATTCTTCCTTGGAATGTATCGATTGAGAATTTTCCAAATCGAATTGGTGTTACCATTTGATTTTAGAATTTCGGAGCGAACATGCTCTTTTTCGGCAAGCCTGATTTCACGTTTGACTTCCTGACGAAAATGGCGATACGCATTCCAGTGTAATTTGTGGTTGGTCTTCATAGCCCTTTTGTGCCACATATCACGCGTGTTCATTAATCCTTTGATCTCCGTTGACACTAATGGGTTAGGTCTTGAATGTCCAAAACATATTAGAAAAGGCAGTTAAAGGCATGTACTTGGTCGTCAGGATCTTCAAAAAGATTAACTATACGGAAAGGAACGTTGGCCAGATCCTCAGTAAAACTATCATGGTCGTAGTTTTTGACAGTCACCGTTTCGAGGCTCTCATGCATAACTTTAAGACTTTTCATGAGGCATACACATTTTTTTTAAGTGGACAGCGTATCGGAAAACATATTGGAAGTGTCTCGTGAAATATTCCCACATTTTGTGGCTTATGTCTTCTTTTAAACAACGCGATGTACGCGAGATTTTGGTCGGTTTTCAAGATACATGAACAAGTATCTATTATTTTGTCGATTCACAGATTTTTTTTACGAAGTTCTAGATATTTTTTCTCGGTTGTCATATCGATTAACTTTTATCATGTTTAATGTGGAGATGGTAGACAACCTAGAATTTTGGTAGACAATTTTTGAATTCCGAGGTCCAAAACACGTACGAGTTCCACTCCGGGTTTCACGCAAACATGGCAGAGCCCTGGTATTACTTTTTTTCGCATTAATACGAGCCTTTGCCTTTTTTCTTTTCAATGCAAAAACAACTTTATTAGTCTTATGGATATTCACGTCCAAAATCTCGCCTCACTTTGCCGAATTTGCGGGGATAAAATTAAAGATCATGAGGGCAAGGTAGATACTATAAACAGCTTTGTTTCTGAAATTCACCAAAACTGGAAAGATTTGGATTCTCCAAATGTTCATCCCAGTGAAAAAA